CTGAGTGCATCTTGCCCATTAATTGGGGATAAACAAAATTTGAAAACTGTTCTCTCTCTCTTCTCTCTCTTACTGCTAACAAAGTGCCGACTCCTCTGTGGGATGAAGTCCAGTTTCGTATGGATGGACTTGTCAAACTTAATCTAGTCAGATAAAAACAAACACCTTTGCCAAATTGGTACATGCTGTAAAGCTCTCCGTTCACTGTGCAATAAGCAGACTCTCGATCAGGTTGTTCTCAGCTTTAGCAACCTTTAACATCATCTATTGTTTCCAGCAAATTACTGTTAAACACTATTTTTTTCAGTGGGGTTTAAGTTTACAAAGGCACTGGAATGCTGAAATAAAGGAAACGTCAAAATAAGGAAACAAATCAATGCAGTAAGACAGCATCAGGAGTGGCAAACTGAAGCTCTATTGATTCTTTTTTTTTTTTTTTTTACAAAAAAAGCTAAATTGGTGAGAGCTACTGCAAAAAAACTTTTAAGGTCAGTATATAACTTCTTAGTGAGTTCTTTATCCCAGTGGAAATTGGCTCTTCACCAATGTAGCATGATTGTCTTCAGAGCAGGAATTATTTTTTAGATGGTAACTACACCTTCAAATTCAACTATTAGTGTCTGACGTCCCATGTATGAGAGGCTCAAACTGAGGCTATGGTTAGCTAGTGCTCTGCTTCTTCTACTTATTGGTGCAGATGCTATAACAGTTGGAGGGCCAATGTACAAAATTGACCTCGGATTCTTGCCTAATATGTCACAGTTAGGAAGCTGCCACAGGATTCGCTGGAGCAAACTTTCATATCCAAGCAGACAGAAAGTGGCCGAATTTGACTGGAAAAGGTTGTTTTTACTCACAATATGAAATTTGTGGGATAAATCCCCTGTATCAAATCATATTACCACAACACTCAACCCTTTTTTTAGGGTGTAGTTACTCTTTAAGCTGAAGTATTAAGTGCAGATGCATAAAAAGCACAAGTCTTCACTGGATAATCAAAAGCAGTATCAGTCTGTCATGATGTTGATTCTATGTTTAATAAGTAAATCAAATTACACAATTAAAGGTTGACTTCAGGTGGACTTAACGTGAATAACATAAGTCTGGCACATTTGAAGGTTAAACATGCTCCTCATCTCTACGACAAAGTGAATATTTCTCTAAGGAAGTGCTGTGCCACAAGCAGTTGATTTCAGTTGAACATTCTGTTGCTAGTAGCAACCACTAGTGATCGAGTTCCATAGCACCTGTTTTGTCAGGTCTGTGCCCAGGCAAAAACTGACACTGTTGACCTTGTCTGAGCAGCATCTGTAGATGCTATTAGCCGTTAAGTGGTCGTCCGTTTGTGAGTTGTGATATTAGTTCAGTATACAGCTAAACAAGCCAGGCATTGGCAATCTGAGGATAATGTGGTGTTCCAACAACCAAGGTAATTTTTAAGATGCTGTTGGCCAGACTACATAACGATGGCTGCCGGCATGCCTTGCCATTATGTGCTGCATTGCAGTGGGTCTACGCAGCTGTCCCTGTTGCATCAAGCGTAGCAGGGGTGCGCCAAAAGTTCAAATTTGTTTAAATTAGACCTGAGCTGTGCTAACCTTTGTAGCCTATGGTTCAGCGTTTTCTGGCACTTATGAATCATCAAATTTTGTATCACCACTGACAGGTGCAGATCATATGAAATGCATTGTGTTGCATTGTAGCTTTGCTAGCAAAAAGTTTTTGAGGGGATGAGATGGTCCATAAATTTTCCACACATGAAATAGCAGAAGGTATATAGTGCACTATATTTAAATAGAATGATTTCGGTTCAACCCTGGTCTATTCTATTCTATTCTATTCTATTCAATGCTTTTCTACTCTACTCTACACAGTCCGGCTGGCTAGCTGTGACCCCATCCCCTTGCATGCTCGGCCGCCTCCATATTGCCCGGACACCAGGAGCGCCATTGCACAACGCTCCACTGGCTTTACATGCGACACGAGGCGGGAGCCGCCAAATTGTAGCACAAGCAATTGGTTTTTAATGCTTTGAGTAGCCCCCCGAGCTCATGAAGCTAGCACGCTTGGCTAATTTGATGTGATTCACTGAGCTGGTGGCAGGCTGTGTGAGTGTAAGGGGCGGTCTGCTGTGTATGTGGCTGGTAGTGGATATGAGCATGGGTCATAAAGGGAGACAGATTGGTAGCTATGATCCACTGACGGCTGTGACAGCTGGGGTTAGCGCCTAGCAGCCGTTTGGTGACAGAGAACACAATGGGGACAGGGCCATGGGGACGGATATGGCCACATGACTACTGCTGGCATAAAGGCATGATGAGATATACACCACAGTACAATGTGGCTAGTGGCTAATGCCAATGGCTCCAAGAGGCCTCTTAACATAAGGCTGGAAGATGGATGGTTGTCAGGCAGCCATACAGGCTGGTTGAGAATAACCAGTATGGACCATACATATGGCAATACATAATATCAGAACACACAAACATGTATCAGGAAAACATTAGCAGTTAGTAACAGGCAGACACAGCAGCAGCAAAAATAGTTAGTAGTTTGTTAGCAAGCTAGCTTCAATTCTATGTGAAAAAAGTGTCACCAGGAAAGTGCAGCCCTGACTGCAAAAGGTAGCAAGCTATGACAGGGAAGGGGAGGCTGGGTGAGTTAAGATACTCGTAGGAAAGGCGGGAGGTTGTGTGGCTGAAAGGCAAACTGAGTGGCTTGGAGGGCAGCTGCAGCTGGGTGTGGTGTGCGTGTGTGTGTCTGCCTGGCTGGTGGCCTGCTGCGACCAGATTACATGTTCACTGTCCCACAGCGGGAGTGGAAGTGAGATGGGTAGGACTGAGTGGTAAATGGCCACAGTGGGGAGCCATGCGGCTGACTGAGCACTCCTCCAGTGACTGAGTGCTGGACCATCAGCTGCAGAGTCCAGTGTTTCCCAATTTGTTCAGTTGCAGTGACTCACAAACAGTTCTTGACTCGGGCTGACAATGTTATTGACACGTTCATGGATTGCTTGAGGCAAACATAATCTTCCTTGCAAACTAAAACAGCAACAGCTAAAGAAACAGCTAAATTAAATATTAATTAATTTTATTTTCAGAGTGCCTATTAATGGCTACACCAGATGAAAATTTGCTATCTTGGTCAACTGTGACCCATTTTTCCTTTTTTCTCCAATGTTACTCAGTTTGCATTTACATTTTCCAGTGATAATTATTAAAAAAAAATGGCAAAAAGATACATTTTGACACTGGTGATGTAATTACTGTATATTACTGAATAATAATGTAGAAATCTTGCACAATAATTATTCTTATTTAAAAACATATTGTTATGAGGCTTTCAGGTTGTTTAGTTTCCAAAGTGTGTGTTGCAACATATATCTTAATTATTTCCCAAATATTAGGTCATAACTCCTAATTTTAAGGTGCTACCTATGCACCTGCATGCATATTCATTTGCTCATTAGTACAGAATAGAGAACTTAGATACTAAAGCATGATTTAAATTATGCAGCAGTGTGATTCATTAGAGGTAAAAGTTACCCTTAGGGTGGTAATTTCTTTCCCAATGAGAAAACAACTTTCTGCATCAACAAAATTACAACTGCTTCACAATATTTACATGCTTGTTATGTACTGTCACATACCTCACATTAGTATAGCACAGTTCTACAATAATGTGCTGTATTATACTGTATGAAATACTCCAGTGCACTTTTGCAATGCACTGTACTGTAGCAGACTTGAAGTCAGGGGTTTATTGAGAAAATTCTTGGTTTACGATTGAAAAGAATCAAATACATTTGCCCTTGACTGGTTCCCGGTCTCATTTGGTGAATGAACTGAGAGCAAAAGCGAACAAAGTTAACTGAATATGCTTCAGGGGCCACAAAAAGCCTCAAGCAAACATTAAAGCCTCTGGCAGAAAGATTTAAAACCTCTGAGCAACAAACCGAGAACACTTATGGTGCTAGGATCAATTAAAGCTAAGCTTAAAACAGTTTATTTAACTACTAATGCTCTTTGTTGCCTTAACATTGGGGAGACAGATCTGGGAAATATTCTAAACAATGCGGTAAGTACACATAGGAAATATGGATTGAAGACTGATTATAAAAGCAGGGCTATTTTAGGCTCTGATGACATAATATTCTTCAGTGGTTCTTAGATTTGAAATCACAAAGTGAAATATCTATCAAATCACATCCAAAGTAAATTTAGTTTTTATGAATAGAAGGAAAATATGATTTCGCCAGTGATTCAAATATTGGATAACTCATTCTGTGAACCCTCAGAAAACTAATGTTCTGCACTCTTCAGTACCATTGGATGCAATGTAACTAGCTCGTTGTAAACTGTGTTGTCGGTGAGCGAAATGTAATTAATGTTAATTTTTTTCCCTGTCGGCTGTCTCGGCTGGTAACCCAGAGCAACAGTCTACAGCCTGTCTGTTTTGTGCTGTGGTCTGGTAAATGACGCTGAATGGCTTCCTGGCACAACAAACACCTATAAACTGCCAACCAAAAAAATAAAACCAAATATGTTGCATGCTTAGGAAAGATGGAAACATGTGGTTATCAGAGTGGAACAATATGCTTTTATGGAGCTCTGTATGGTAACTGCAGGACAAAAGTAGTGTAATCATTTAGCTATCACAAGTTTTGATGTGGTACTGTACTGCCATGTGCATATATGCAATTTAGTTGGTTTAACATTTGACCTGCAAAAGAGGAAGAATGTGTCTTAAACGATTTTCCAGATAGAACTTATTTTTCTGATTAGTTTATATTGCTATAAATATACAAAAATCTGTCATGTTGTAAAACTATTTTCAGCACAAATGTAAAATAAACTTCCTTTAATGAATTCCTCCCAAAACCTTTCAGCAGCTCTGGCGAAACACAGTGCAGAAAGGAGAAACTAGAGGAAAACCATAGAAGGGTGGGCCCCATTGGGGATCAAAGGGCAGCTACTGCAGGTGAATGGTAGAGTACTTACTGTAGGTTGCATAACATATTGTTGATGAGGCATCCATGACGTACTCTGGACCTGAGGAGAAACACATAAAATGTAAAATTATGGTAAAAATTTTCCTCAGTCTTAGTCAGATCCAAGTAGTATCTCAAATAAGGCAATAAATGCTGTTCAAATATTCACAATATGTTCAAACACTCTGGAGTATGAGCGACTTAAAAAATGATTACACTGGTTTTAATGCACCAAAATGGCTGAACTTTACACAGATTAAGTTGTGCCAAAGAATTACAAAAAGAATTTGAAAGTCTGGAGGCAGCAAATGTCTCTCCTGCCTTCTCATTATTGCCAACAGTATGACTTGTGCATAGAGCCCATAAATTAGGTTCCTTCCCTATTATAATAATAACATTAATGCCATGCCCAGTGTTCTTGCAAAAGGGGTGAGGGGTTTTGAAAACTCTAGGGACAGACCGCTAGAGAGCACAGACAAATTCCAGCAGGATTTTTTTTATTTTTTTTTATCAAAAAATAAAAGGAATTTGAAAGTGGTGAACAGAGCTTTTCCTTTTTTTTTCGTGAGCCAGAATTCGGAAACATGCCGAGCTATTACCGGAGGAAATCATATACAGACATGCTTATTTACAAATGTGGATGAGAAAGTTAAAGAGATGGTGAAACAGTGACAGAGACAATGATCAAGAGACTGGAGGAATGGAGGAACAAACAGAGCTTTTAGATGTGCTGGAGAGAGGAATTAGCTTGTGGCAGACAAACACACAGGCTGGCCACTGATGCTGGTATAATGATTAGATTAAACAAAGACAAACATGGAATAATCTGCTATAAGAGCAATCAATCCTCTGAGCCAACCCAAACGCATGATTTGGATCCGCACCTAAACAAGCTTGATATCCTATAACATGAAGCCAAGTCTGTCTGTTTATACATGGCAATATTTGTTCTCCTCAGCTGAACGGGACGGCAGAGAGACACAGAGAAAGCTTATGTTTATTCACTTATCTTCAGCATTTCCTCAGCAAGATACTGCATGACCATCATGCGATCTGTTTAATAGAGCATAGGACTGTAGTCTTGAGACTGAGATGTCAGTCAGATTTAAGGCTCCTGTACAGTGCATGGGTTTGGGCTTTCCCAGATGAAAGAGGCCAAATTGATGTGAGAGAAATGTGGTAAAAATATTTGGTCATTAATCAAAAAAGGTCGGAAGCATCAGAAGTTCAGGACCAAAACCTAACACTGCTGCTACGACTCACATTTACAAACCAACCAATCAGAACAGAACATGAAATGAGGCAGAATGCATCAGTGAGCTTGCCTAGTACTAATGCTAAAAACATATTTACCTCAAACTCACTTCCCTCCTGTCCCTGGCCATGACCGGCTTCACATCTTCTCCTCATCCTCTTTGAATTTTTTTAGTGCATAGAAGAGCCAAAGCTTCTTTAATGTTTTTCTACATTTTTATAATATAAGAGCGGTGCAGATGGATGATGGGAGTTGATGACAAGCCTCTGTTTGTATCCGCTTTTTTTTCTATTTCCATTCTAGTGTTATCAGAGAGAAGGGTTACAGAGTTCAGGTAATTCAGATATGCACAAAATTGAACAAATTGTCCGACATGAGCATATTGATATGAACCATATTGGTCGTCTGTCCAATATATATACATATAGTTCTGATACAACCCATAGCCTAGAAGCTGCTCCTGATATAGCTTACAGCCTACAGCTTTGTCATCATGGTTACAATAATGAACACGTGGTTGAGCTTTTGGAACGCTCACGATTTGGTTAGGTTTAGGGAAAGATCATGGGTTTGGGTTACAGTAATTAAGGTTAGAGGACCTTGGTCGTCACGGTTCCAATAAAACGTCTGGTGTGACAGCCCTGTGACATATACAATGAAGTTCTAAGGTCTTAGACTTGACTTGGATTTTGTCAAACGACATAAAAAACAGCTCTGACAGACTGACAGAAGTTTGCTTTTTCTACAGGACAAAAGTTAATAAGGTAAGACTTATTCTACAGCTGCAGAAGGTTCAGTGTGAGTGAATGGTATTATGTGCATGACCTAAGAAGCTACCTCTGGCTGAACTTCACAGCTCGTGTTACCATTTAAAACAGCCTGTCAGCCAACAAGCCAAAAAGCTGGTCAGTCAGTCGTTCAGCCACGCGGTCAGCCAGTTGGCCTGCCACCCAACCAGTCACACGTAAAGCTAAACATTCAGCCAGTTCGCTAGTTAGTAAGCCAGCCAGCCAGCCAGCCAGCCAGCCAGCCAGCCAGCCAGCCAGCTAGCCACACATCCAACCAGTCAGTCACATATTTAGTCCCCCAGTGAGCTGGTCTGCAGAGTCAGTGATGTAAACCAGGCCGCTGCTGGCTGGCAGCACTAGCTGAGATCTTGGTAGTGATCTGGCCGCGGCTGGCTCCCGTCATGTGGATCATCAAAGCTGATTTTCCAGGAAACAAAGCCAATCATCATTCAAGCTAACCGGAGCCAGGCTTAAAGGAACACCAGAACACTGCTGTTGGCATGGGTCATTTGAAGATTTGATAAATCAAGGTGATCAAAATAGTAGCTCAAAAAATATCCTCTCACCATAAACATAATGGCATGAATGGCATATACCGTCATTTCTATGCACCTTGAGATTTTCATTATAAAGGCAATAGTTTCCATCATAAAAGGAAGTGATTTCCTTTTGTCTGGCTTATATGCCTGCCTGGCTTGTCTTCTCTTTTTCTTTTTCCTCTGTGTCTTTGTACTTGAACAGAAGATGAAGGACTCACCTTCCTGCCGTGACTGGCTGAAGGGCAATATTACAGGAAGCGGCGGCAGAGCGGCCTGATATTGAAACTGTGAGGATTAATATTCCTCAAAAGCCTGACCATTGTTTTTGATAAATCAATTTGGGAAGCCTTCCGAGAGCGGATTAGAGGCGCGCCTTGGCCCACTTTTCTCCCTCCTCCTCTTTCCCCTACCCCTCCACCGCAGGTACTGGACCAGAGTTTTAATCAAGCGTGCCTCAAAGACGGGCAAAGCAACCTTCAGCAACAACCGCTCACCGTCCGCCCACCCCTCCCACCTGAGCCATCGGCTATCACCATCACCACCACCCGTACTATCCTTCCTGCTCTCCCTAGTTGTCTCTCTCTCCATCTGTCCCTTCTATTTTCCCATCTATCCTTCATCTCCTTTCTCTTGCTCGCTATCCTCGTCTGCCTGTCTCTGCATACCAAACAGAGCCGATGTTAAACGATAGCGTCTGAGCGAAGAGGGCACAGTGGCAGTGCCTCTTGATGTTTAGATTTGGCAAAGGGTGCTGCGTGAAATGTGCAGTGACGGAAAACGGGGTAACGCTCTTGACATCTAGCACAGCCAATTTTCACGTTCCTGTTGTGTTCTGTTTCATTACTCCACAGATCACAGCCATGAGGAACGGTGGAAATTCACTTTGGAAGAGGAAGTGATTGTATCGAAGTTGGCAAAAATAAAATTAAATAAAAAAAAACTTCTTCATTGCATTACCAGCTACAGGAGCACAAAGGAGGTCAGGAAACTAGGAGGGAAGAAATAGTTTGTTTTTCCTAGACACTTTCATTCTTGATGGGTGATTTTCTTTTTTTTTCTACCCTGTCAGCCTTTTTTAATCCCTTTTTTTTGTTGCTTGTTTTCTGATGCCTGTTGTGTTTGCCGCCTACGAAACAGATGTCATCGAGCACAGCTGGAGCGGTGGAGAAACTATGAGAGAAGAGAGAACCTCACGCTGTTTTGCAGCCCGCCCCCTCTCTTCTATCTACCCTACACAAAGCAAACTCTCCTATTATACATACACACAGGCAGAAGTCTACCCATAATGCAGTGCATTATGGCCCACCTGATATGTGGAAACGGGGGAAGCAGCGATGAAGGGCGTGATGGAGGTCTGTGCGATCATGCGGTTGGTGGCGATGCTGTAAGGCGAGGAGTAGAACCTGGGAAGGGACAAAGAAAGGGAGAAAGAGGGAGGGAGAGAAGGAGGAGAGGAAGGAGGAGAAAAGGGAGGACATAAGGATGAAAAAGAGTAGAGAGAGAGATAATAAGTCTGTCAAATTCATTTTAGGTATATAGAACATAATATAAATATAACACAAAAAATGGGTTGTTAACTGACACATCTTTGTCTATAGAATATTTCTCTGTCTATATAAAAGCACACACACACACACACACACACACACACACACACACACACACACACACACACACACACACACACACAGACTATGGATTTGTCCTGTAGATTGTTCCTGAGCAAACACTTGGCCGTACATTGAACACCACATAAAAGTTTCATGAAGTGTCTCATAGGATTCTCAATTGAAAAGTCAGGTTTTATCACATCAAACGGAGCTTTGTCATCCTATAAAGTGGGAGGTTGTCTGTATTTCTTTCACCACATATTCCAGCACTAAGGCTACACTGTGCCGGGGCTGGCTGGCTGGCTTAAGTAGCACGCTTGTGCGCTGAGCTTGGAGAAAACTCAATGCATTTTAAGAAGCTAAGGTTTGACATGAGCTGCGGAGAAGTGAGGTGGTCGGCTACGCTACTTTATCTTATTGCTGAAGGTTTATAGCAACCGAATGTTGCAGAGATCCCACGGGAAGCTAAGTGGAACGTCCAATAGTCTCTGTCACCTGAGCTGAAGATCATATTACTGAGGCTGAGGATATTATGTACTAGGCTTCAGGACACCACACTGGGTTTGAACATTCAGAATTAGCTCTTTATGTCGTGTATTACATTATATTTTAACACTATTGTTCTGGAGTCCTAGTCCTAGTTGGTTTATCAGCTTTATACTTTATGGCTTTCCCTCATTTTAATAAAAATTGCTGATGAACATGATTTTGAACTGATGACACGTTTCACAACTCAACTGCAGAGGAAGACCCCGGCTTACCACAGACATGGTCGAATACAATGGATTTTCATCGGACTCTATATATGTAATTGATGTTTAAAGAAGCATGACAACTCCCAAATTCCATTGGGAGTCAATTCTAGTCTATTTGAATTTCTTTTATTGGAGTTGTATAATAGTTTGTTCATAAGAGGTCTAATTGGGGGTTAGACCTCTCTTAGGGCAAACTAACCTCAAGCATAAGTAATGTCACTATGTCAGATAACATACTGTATCTTAATTTTTGGCAAGATATATATATATATATATATATATATATATATATATATAAACATATACAGTATGTCTGTTCATGCATAGGCCATTCAACATACAAAACATAAAATATGTCCTTGTGTAGTTAAATAACAGAGCTTTATATATTTTGTCACCTTCATTAAATGTGCAAGCTCAGTTTGTGCCAAAGGGAAGCATTACCACTTCAATAACTTTCTACATATTGAGTTTTAATAAGGTCAGTGGAGAAGAAAACATACTGTATATTTGAAAAAACGTTGATGTTTCAATTATAATTATTATTTTTACACATACAGCAGTGGGGTCTGTGAGATGCCAAACAATGAAGAAATACAAGCAATGTCAACAGAACAATGAATAAAAAAAATAAAATAATAATAATAAAATACCCTTTACATGCCACTAATGAGATGACACTTTTTACTTTTTTCACTCTTTTTAGGTTGGACTTTGTCTTGATATGGGCCAAAAAAAAAAAAAAAACTTTTCTTTTTGCTGTTCTCTTATTAAAGTATACAGTTGAATTTATTCAACTATTAATACAAACTAAAAAATGTAAATTCTGTCCCACAATAGCATATATACGCATTATATATGGATAATTTTCATCATTATTATATTTTCCATTCACTAATCCAATTTGCACTTGCATTTTGATATACTAGTAAGCATAGTCTGACAAATGTGAAGTGGCATTTTTGTTTTACATTTTCAGCTTTAGTCCCACTGCATTTTCATTTTCTACTTTGCATTAACATATGAATTAAATTGACTATATATTTCTACATTCTTAAATTCACCATATTTTTTCATTCCTACATTGTGTTAAGATTTGAATAAAGTTGACTACTTTTACGTTCTTTGCTACTTAATTCACCCTATTTCCCCTTTTTTCTGGAACACGATCATTAGGCTAAACTTCAGGTTGAACGCATTAAGAGAGAATTGTTCGCTTACTTGCAGGTCTGTTGCTTATATCTGTGGGAATATAATTTGGCGGATTTGCAGCAAAGCAGGCTTTTACATGGCAGGCTGTGTGTAATGAGTGATGCTATTCATCCAGTTTTTTTTTTTTTTTTTTTGGTTGAGATTGACTCTGAGTCACGGGGGGATAAGTGGTTTAAGAAGCGGGGAGTCAGGAGCTTCCTGTGGATGACTGAGGCCAGAGGGAGATAGGGGAGAGCCTCAGCACTCTCCTTCCTGCCTCAGTACTGCAGGGAAAAATAAAACACGTCGCAGGGTCATTTATTTCCACAGCACCATTAAGTCATGACATAAAGACGCAGAAACACACAGGAACACACACGCATACTTACAGACCCAAACACACGTTAACACACACAAGCTCACTCAGCTACCCTCTGCCATGCCTCACCCGACCCCACCAATGAAAACTGATGGTTGATGGTTCATATAGATTTCCTTAATCAAACAGTTACAAAGTGCAGACACTACATTAATCTTCATGTATGACATTGGTATTGATGAGGGCCCATTGAGCCAAGAGGTGAGTGGAGTAGATGGTGCCAAGGATGGATTGACCATCAAGCTCTTACCCATTCTGCATTGCAGCGGGATCGTATGTTAACGCCATGCCAGTCTGAAAGAGAAAAACCAATAAACACGCAGGATTAATCACAAATTAACAAGAGTTGAAAAAAAAATGTATAAAATAAGATAACAATGCTACAAATGGTGTGTCACATTTGATAGGTAAAACTTTTTTCCTGTCATTTGCACACCATCAAAGGAATACATAACATTTTGCTTTTTTGGTGAGAATTCAATGGAAAACAAACAACATATAACATGTTAATTAGTAAGCTTCAGAGCCAAGCTAGCTGTTCCCCCTGTTCCCAGTCTTTGTGCTAAGCTAGGCTAACACCCTGCAAGCTCCAGATTCAAATCTAGTCTTAATTAAGTAGAACCAAACACTAAGAAGCAACCAGAAATCCTGCACACAGTTGGTCACTTTATTCAGTCGCAGCACATCAGTAGGTTCACTTCAGTCAGGTAAGAGTAGTCCTTGTAAAGGATATAGTATGTATACATTGGAGATGTACAGTACATGTTCATTGGACCGCATTCTGTGACTGTTTTCTCTGTGCCGGTACTGGCACTGTACGTCTCTGGGAAATCTGTCGATATGTTCCTGAGAGAATGTCACCAAGATAATTCGCTGTACCTTTATTGTACTTGGGGAATAACATGATTTAGACCCTGATTCTTTTTGTTCAAAATAAATTAAATCAAATCAAAATCAGCTCATTTCAAATTGGAAAAACTGACAAGTGACAAAGCCAATGTGGGGAAAAGTTTAGTCAATAGGACAAAGTGAATTAGTATTGAGGACGCCTCCTTTGCCATTTCAATCACGTACAATCATGCTTTTATAAATGAGAGGAAATGAAGAAATGCCCTTTGGAGAGAAAAGGAGTGAGCGGAAAACGGAGTTCTTTGTCTGGTGATGGTGTGTGTGTGTGTGTGCATGTGGTTGTAAGTGTGCATTATGAGTGTGTGTGTGTGTGTGTGTGTGTGTGTGTGTGTGTGTGTGAGAGGCCCTCTTAGAGTCCAGGAGAGAAACCTGTGCGCCGCAATCCGTCATCTGCATTCCTGAAGGTTCTCTCCCGGAGGAGAGCTAATCCGATTTCTTTTAACGGGAGGCTGCTGAGGACGGCAGATTTCATCAGCATACACACAGGCGCACACACGCACACACAGGCGCACGCGCGCGCGCGCACACACACACACACACACACACACACACACACACACACACACACACACACACACACACACACTCCCTTTTCTTGCCCTTCCTCTCTCTCTCTCACTTTGCTCTCCCTCCCTCTCCTTCCTTTCTTCATCATCTCATGTTCTCTTCCTCTCTTCCCTTACCTTTCTCTCTTCATCCCTCACCCACCGCATCTCTTAATCTACCCCCCCCCCTGTCTTTCTGTACCACTCTTTTGCCCTTGTTCCTACACCGGGCTACCTACACTGAGCTGTGCTGTTGAGGGAATAGTGGCTCAGAGGAGCAGGGGGGATCAGGGAGCCTGGACCAAACCCACGAGAGCGAGCAAAAACAGAGAATCTCCACCGAATGACTAAGCCCTCGCTGACACTACAGATGTGTGGACGCGTGAGTGCGTGGTGGTAGGCCTTTGTGTTCAATATGTGCGAGAGTGCATTTGCAGAACTGGTTAAAAAAAAAAGAAAAAAAGAAAAAAGCCGTCCAGAGAGGATGAAGGCACTTGCATCTGTCCATGTAGTTTATTTGTGTATTTTCACCATCAGTGTCTATGAATGTCCCTTTCTGTGAGTCCATACGCGCAAAGCTGTCTGTGCATGTATTTATACACCCTCTTTACGCTGAATGTGAGATCAAGAGAGTCTCTGAGCATGCCTATCTGTTTTGTGTGCGCTAGTGTGTGTTCACATGTGCGCTAATAGCACTGGCAGACATGGCCAGCTGTCTGGTGAGGCTGATAACTCCCCTAAGTGCTGCTCTTGGTTCCATGTGCTGATGAATTCCACAGCAGAGAAGCTCCTGGCCGGGGACCCTGCATGGCCAATGACTGATTACTGATGCAGTCAGCTTTTGGCTCTGTTGCTACGAGGGTTACGGAAAAGACAGTTTGTGTATGCTTTTGTCTGAGCTTGATCCAAGAAACAAAAAAAAAAAAAAAAACCCTAGACGACATATATTGTACAGACTCACTGAACAAAGCTTGGCCCGGGGAAAAGCTGCCGCGGACAGACCCCGCTTTCAAAGACGGAGTAGCTATGTATGTTCATTTTGCATGTTAAGTTAGGTCAGAATTGAGTTACGCTTCCTCACCTCATTCAGTGATTTAACAGAAAGATTATGAATTTCAAGATTTTACATAATCACACTCAAAAGTTTAGCAAGTTGTGCAGAATTGTTTTGCATTAATATCTTCTCATCTGTGCTCTTGGGTGTACAAAATGCATTCTGTCTGACTAATGTCTTTTCAATGCAAATGTAAATGTATTTTATCATAGCAATAAAGCAGTTTTTTATGTGTACTACTGTGTGCATCGATGTATGTTTGCATACATGTGTTTAGTACACAGATGTTAAAACATGGTCAGGTGAGGACAGCCTGTATTAGGCAGCTGTAATGACACCTGTGCTGTACTGCTCTTATACAGGAAACTGAGCCGAGCCATTGTCTCTTGTCCTCACACACTCACACACTCACACACACACACACACACACACACACACACACACACACTACCACAACAACACACACACACACACACACACACACACACACACACACACACACACACACACACACACACACACACACACACCACACACACACGCTTCCTTCTTGTATTTTGCCTCCATAACCACAGATTCACTCCTTATTATTTTCTTTTTGCCTCGTGGCCACACACATAATACACACAACACACACACACACACACACAACACACACACGACAGCGAGCGACATCTGTCAGGCTTTCACACCAGAGTGGAAAGCCGGATGTATATTTTTTCCCATTTTTTTCATTTTTCCCCTAGAGTAGGGGTGCTTTTGAGAAAGCGTGGACTTGTTTGAAAGTTTTTTTGTGTGTAGGAGTGTGTGTGTGGGAAAGAGAGCGAGGAAGTGAAAGGAGAGAGAAAGAGATAGGGAGGGAGAAAAGAATGAGCACCCATGGCGCTTACGCTCTGCGTGTGTTGTGTGTGTTCGTCGAACCCTCCTAATACAAATCGAGGA